GCCACTTCCTGTCCCCCAACCACCTTACAAACCTCTGAGAACTGCCTTTTGTCTAACTAAAATAACAGCCAGGACCATCAATAATGTATTTATAGAGGCACCAGTCATCCATGTCCAGGTGCTATTTTCGCCATATGACAAAATTACCGTCATTTTTCTTCTTACAACAACCCGAAAGACGTCTGGGAATTCCCTGTTTGGCTGACTAAATAGCATCAGTATAATAATATCATAAATAATTATCTATTTATAGAGGCACCAGCCATAAATGTCCAAAATAATGCTGTTTCAGCCGTCTGCCTAAATAATCGTCATTTTCTTTCCTTCAACAACCCGACAGACTTCTTGAACTGCATGACATCCTGACTAAATACCATAAATATAATAATATCTACAATAATTTATTTATAGAGGCATCAGCTATTCATGCCCAGGTGCTGTTTTGGCCATCCCTGACTAAATAACCGTCATTTTCTGTCCTCCAACAAAACCGACAGATCTAAACAACCGTCATTTTCTGTCCTTCAACAAACCGACAGATCTAAACAACCGTCATTTTCTGTCCTCCAACAAAACCGACAGATCTAAACAACCGTCATGTTCTTTCCTCCCTGCCTGACCCAACCATCCGCCAGACCTCCGAGAACTACCTGGTAGTCTGACTAAATACCATCAGTATAATGATGTCATGAATAATTATCTATTTATAGAGGCGCCAGCCATCAATATACAGGAGAAGTGTCTACGTTCTCTAACGTTAGAGAATGTATACAAGCTGCCTACGTTCTCTAGCGAATAAAAAAAAGTAACAATATCAAGCCTGTAGGGCCCTATTTGAACCCTCTTCTACTTTTCAATCTTTCTTTTTATTTTCAAATTGGTTTACTTTAAATTGTGTCGTTAGATCTACATCAAATATGTCCGCCAGTCTACTCATTGAATTAGGTTATTTCATGCACTAGATCTAGGCCTATCGTAGACCTATAGTTGATATGACTGACTTGACCGTGACCCACGTGATTTGATTTCTTGACAGTGATGTCACATCACACCCCAAATCGGCAATGTTTTTCCACACATGTGAATTTGGTATCATTTATGATATCTCACATTGTATCACATAGGCCTACCTTGGCTTTGAGGTGGGAATACGAAATCGCATGTAAACTGCAAGCTATCTTCTAAATACTAATTACAGACGGCGTGATCTTCAGTGACTTATTCAAAGTTTTAGGGCGGGGGGAGGGACATCAGACTGCACTTTCCTTTGATGAAAAGTGTAGGCCTACAACATATTATTACGAAAGGGGGTGGGGTTGTGTCCTTTCGATGGTATGATAGAAGGTGTTGGTTGCTTGTTAGGGGTTTAACGTCGCTGTAAAGGCAAGATGCGGTAC